ATATATATAATATAAATATATATATATAATTTTTTGCTCTGTTACTTGCACATTTTACAGTTACCTCATTTTCCCATGTATGTATTTGAAAAAAAGGCTAATATATAGAGAAGAAAAAAAAGGTTCTTAAAATCTCTAAAAGTGTTTGTTTTTTTTCCATTCCATTGGAATCATATTGGTTTGTAGCATTTAACATAACTAGTATGTTGTATTATATATATGTGTATTATACTGATTGAAATTTTTAACAGATTTGTACTTTTTTTAAAATGAAAGTTGCTAGTTCTGCTTGACCAAGTAGTGCAATCATTATTTTTTTTAATGTTGTGGCTGATTTTGAGAGGGATATTCACTAATAAATGTATGATGTATACCAATGAGGGCAGGCCAGTCTCTTCTCTTGCCAGAGGCCATGCTTTCAGGAAGAGCTTCTTTGTCATACATGTAATCTGTTCTTCCTGCAAGGAGCTTGGAATGGCATTCTGGCATCAACATAACCCTGTGATGTGGTAGGCTGAGTGAGCTTGATCACAGAGCAAGGCTTTCCACTTGGATTTCTATGTCTGGAACGGCCATGACACACACACACACACACACACACACACACACACACACACCAATTATCAGAAGGTAGTCACAATAGTGGCAAGTGCCCTAAAGAAATATCTGCTTAATGCTGCCATTTTTAAAAGAGATGCTTGAAGGTTCACTTACTTGTTGCTGTTACTGTTGGTGCTAGATCCATGTATCCAAATGAAATGTGCCATGGAGAGCTATAGTCTCCGTCTGCAGGCTTCAATGAAGATGTGCTGCTTGGACACCTGCCCATTTTTATATTGGTTTTGTTAGGACAGACTTCCAAGCTGGGACACTGTTTTGGTATTCCAACAGGACATTCAGTAAGACACCCATAATATCAAGAAACATGTACACTATTGCTCTACATGCCGCAACGCTATAATAGAAGAAACCAAAGGCCAAGCTGTGATGTGGAATTCAGTGGGCTTCCTTTAGAGTATTCTGTATGTTGCATTCACTGCCATAGCCTAAAATGCCTCAGATGTTCAAAAAACAGAATAAAACTTTGCAAGAGTGCTGATTTACTTGAGCATACCAATGGTTGGTTCCTGGAATGAGTCTTGTAGGCCAGAGCTTGAGGGTGTATTTAAACTAACATGTCTGAAAATGAATGGCTGCTATGGACGTAAGGTAATCTCATCCCAATGTTCTTTTTGGCCATAGCCACCTCCTCCCCACCATTACTGAAGCACTTGTTTCCTTTTATGAAAGGCAAATGTGCAGCACTGCATCTGTTCATCTAGATTTCCTTTTAGTTGTAGTTTTAAATAAGAACTGCGGGCCACTGCCCTCTTTTTTAAAAAAAAACAGTCATTATTGGTGTGTGTAAAGGTGAGTTGGTGCAATTGTCAGAGAGCATTTATTAAAGAGGTAAACAGGAAACAGACTATTACTGGAAGGTGAAACACTTGTGCAGAATGTTAATGTTTAGGAAAGTAAGGGAAAAAGAAAACGGTACTAATATGGATCAAAACTTGAATCAATTTGAATGCTACATGTAGTCAGACCTATAAATATGGCCACTGCCTACCATAGGTGCTGGGACAGAACATGGTAACAAACATACTAGGGTTGGACTAGCTTTACAATCTTAAGAGCCAAGGGGAAAACTGCTAATTTTCAGCGTTGTATGACCCTCACAACTAGTCTCCTTGTCAAAACACACACATTGCCGATTCAGATTAGAAATATAGCATTTTCAGCGTTGTATGACCCTCACAACTAAGCGAATTGTCTCCTTGTCAAAACACACACATTGCCAATTCAGATTAGAAATATAGCACCTTTCCTGTATTTTGATTAAATTAAATGGTTGGTTCGTTTTTTAAAAAGGTTGGTGCCTATACTTGAATGCAAGGAGCTTGGCCTTTCCCCCTGCTTTGACATGTGGAAAAAGCACATTATAAACCTGCAGACAACAATAGATTTTCTTAAACTCACTTATCCCAAACAGCCAATGAGATGGTGAGATTGTAGGGACAATAAAATAGTCCTAACCTGGCTAGGCCAGCACCCTTCTCCTACATCCTGAAATGGCACAGCCCAGTCACATTTACCCACCTTATCTGCTCCTTGTGAGATTAGGTGCCATTGTTCTAGAATCCCGAGTATGATATAACAGCTTTGCTGCCATGCGGTTATGTATCTCAGTCTAACTGTTGGATGATCGGTATTATTTGTTCCATTTCTGCAAGATGCAACTCAGCCTCCAACTCTGCCTTGTGCTCATGTGCACCAGCTACTGGTAAAACAGTGAACCATTCTTCTTAAACGAAGGCAAAGTGGTACCTCCTTGCCCATTTTGTTCCCAGCTTTCACGACCATAAGGTAGCGGCTCTTAAGTTTTTATCCTGAAGTAGCTACCACTATCCTCAAAGCAGCTGAGAAGAAGGGGGACAGTATCTTTCAAAGACCGCTGACTAAAAACAGAACCTGCAAGTCATTCATTTATTTATGAAACCTGTATGTCTTGAGGGTTA